CTGTATGTGGGATCCGAACCCTCGGCGGGAGCGCCGCCGTGCTTCCCAAGTGGCACACTATCCAGTGCGCCACCGGGCTGGCCCCACCAATTCATTATCTTGAAAATTGGTAAATGAAAAAAAAATCAAGCATTTACTTTGTCTTGCCTATTTGAGTAGTATCACTTGGATATCAAATACTAGAGAGGACACACCTTTTTACAAAATAATTTCAACTAACAAATGAAAAAAATAATACCATTAGAATATCGCCATTTTGCAAGCCTCACAGGTGTCTAAAGAATACAGAGGGCAGAGTACTGAGCCCTTCCTCACAGGGCTGCTGTCAGATTAAATACATTTAATGTTCTGACACAGTGCCCGACCCACAGCGCACGCACAGTAAGCGTTAGGTGCTTTTTGCCTCCTGATGTAGTTCTTGGTTTGGAAAGCTGTATTGCGGTCTGTCTGTGCCCAAGCCAGGCCCCATCACTTCCACCTGGATCCCACAGACAGTGGGACCATGACACAACAGGACGAGCAGAAGCTTTGGGGTCAGACAGACCTCTTCTGGCTCCATCACTGGCTTCCTTGGACAAATCCCGGCACTCTCTGAGCTCAATCTCCTCACCTCTAACATGGGGAAAATACAGGGCCTGCCTGGTGATGTCAGGAGGAGGAAGTGAAATAGTCACTTGGTCTGACACAGGGTGGGTCCTGAGGACATGGTAGCTCCTTCCTCTCCTGCCTCCCCCGCCTCACCAACTCCAGACTAATCCTCCTGAGTATCTGCTTCTATCATCTTAATGTCCTATTAAAGAACTTCAAAGGACTCCCATCTACCTTCAAAGATAGAGAATCTGCTTCTATTTTCAGATTCTCTGGATCAGTAGTGGCTCCCTGGGCTTACAAGTTAAGAGGGATCCCAAGGCTCTGTCCAGGCTCCACGGGGAAAAATGAGATCATCTAGTGATGCCTAATTTCCCAGTCTCCACAGGAGCCCATAACAGCCCCTTTGCCATATATTTGCCCTCATAATCATCTGGAACAACTCTAAGAACCTCATCCAGGCGCTCGAGAATCCCCTCCTCTGGCTCTTGCAGCTCCACCCAACCCCGCTCCACCTTTTCCCAAAGATCTACCCCCATCCCCAGCAGGGCGATCACCTGTGTGCTGTTCTCCTTTCAACATCATTCCCACCTCCAGACCTTTATCAAAAGCTCCTCTCCAAACATCTGCCACGTGCCATCTCCCAGGGGACCCAGGGGTCCAGCGAATGCCGACCATGCCGAAAGCAGCTCTCCTAATGAAGCCCCTCCAGCCCCACCCTCCGGCTCGGTCTCCCACCCACAGCCCGGAGGCCACCCTCTACCTTTGATAGGCCACAAAATAGGTCACGTTCTGGGGGTTGCCAGGTCCTGGGAGCCATGTCAGGTACAAGCTGAAGTTCTGGGAGAGCAGCGTCACGTTCTGGGGAAGGGCCAGATGGGGCCTCCCTGTGGGCGAGAAAGAGGTCATGGAGCCCAGAGCTCCCTGCTGGCTGGTCTTGACATGGTCACTCAGAGCTGAGGAGTGGCAGGATGGACAGTAAAGTGCTCGCTCAGTTGAGGAACCAGGAGCTACCGACTCGCTGTATTGCAGCCCCATCCCCTCCCCAGGCCCCAGTCCCCATCTGTGCCATGAGAGGAAGCTCCCATCCATGGGCACCTGAGGGTTCCAGCTGAACAGCACGGAGCAGGAGCCGTCTAATGTGCTCCCTCCCCCTGGACTCCAGGAGGCAGCAGCCCTGGGGAGCTCTGTCTGGTTCTCAGCCAGTCCCCAGAGCCTGCCTGTCATGACCACTGGGAAGCAGTAGCTGCATAACAAATATGTGTTCAGTGAGTGAATGAATATTATGATAACTTGGATTACTCCAAAGTCTTCCTAACTGGACTCCCTCCTTCAATCTTTTGTAAGGAGAACACTGCAAAGGTTGCCGCCCAGGCATTAGAAGTAGATCATCACCCCAAATAGCCCAGGCTGGTGGCCAGAGTTTCCTGCCTAGCAGACTGGGCTACCTGCTTTTCCTACCGTTTCCATTAAACAGACCATCCAACCATTTGCCTGAGAACTTCAAGTGACCCACACCCAGCTCCCTTATGTATACCACTGGTTGCCACTCTCTCTCTTTCTGTCTGAGTCTTCATTCCTGCCTCGAGGGACCTGGGGCAGAGGACTGCCCTCCTGAGTCATTGCACTCTCCCTGCCCAGGATCTGTAAGTGATAAATCTTTGACCTTGTTTCCTATTGTGGTGATGGATTCAATTTGCACCTTCCACCTGAAGAACCGGGGGCTGTCCCAGGCAGGGTTTTCTCAGGGACACCAGAAGAATACAAGTCAGTGCCAGTGGTCAGGCAGGCATGAACTGGACATGGGGAAGACAAGAGCCACAAGGGCATCTGACAGTATAAAAAAGTCTCCCATGTGAGGGACCCTCCCTGGTCACGTGCTTGGCATCCTTCGCAGACTCAACAGAGGGTAGTTACTCTAGCTGCTATCTCTCTGTCAGGGGTTGGACAAGTAGGCATTAGGCAGTCCGCCAGGTAGAAGTTTTGGTGAAGGGTGCATGGCAAATACCCAGGTCCAGCCCCCCTCATTTCCCATTGTGGCAGCGTTGCTGGCTGCTCTGGGCCTAGAACCCCAACTTAGCTGGGGGCTCACAAAACACCTTGCTCTCTCTGTCCATTTTTGACACAGCAGCAAGGGTAAAAATGAAAGTCAGACCACGTCCCTCTTCTGCCTGAACCCTCTGAAGCCTGCCAGCTCGCTCGCGTCTTTACACTCACCTCCAAGACCCTGCCCAATCGACCCACTACTCTCCCTTGCTCCCTCCTCTCCAGCCATGCTGGCCTTTTGCTCTTGCTGGAGCACCCAGGCTCGCCCCTACCTCTGGGCCTCTGCACATGCTGTTCCCTCTGCCTCGACGTTTCCCCACTGCATATCCACCTGGCTCACCCCTTTGCTTCTTCCACACCCCTTTGATGTCGTTGTCTCAGTGACACTTTTCCTGACCACCTTTAACTGGCCTCTACTTCCCTTCCCTGGCAGCCCCTCCTTCCCACCCACGAACCTCATCTTCTGAAATATGCATCTGATTACATCACTCCCCAATTTCAAGCCCTTCTCTTGCCGTCAGAATAAAGTCCACATGCCTTATCGAGATACGTGAGGCCCTGCCTGGCGTGGCCTGGAGTGACCTGGCTGGCCTGTCTTGCTGAGCTCTCCCTGACGGCTCCCTCACAGGCTCACCACGCTGCAGCCAGTCTCCCATCTTGCTCGTTCCCAAACCACTGCATTCTTTTGGATGTCTTAGAAGCCCAGTGTCTTTGCCTGGTGTTCACCATCTAATCTCTGAGAGACTGATTCCAATGTCATGTCCTCTCGGGGGTGGGGGGGGTCTTCCCTGACATCTCTATGAGGTGGTGGTGCTGCTGCTGCTGCTGATGACATGATGATAGTAACAGTAATGACAACAGCAGCTAGTGTGTACTGGGTTTTAACTATGAGCCAGGCTCTGTGCTCAACACTTTACCTGC